AAAAAAAAAAAAGAAGAAGGAGAAGGAGTACTAGCCATCACCAGAGTTAGATTTATTATTCCCTGTCTCCTCCAACTAATAATCAGGGCAATACACTAAATCAGGGGTCCTTAAACTTTTTAAACAGGGGGCCAGTGTTTTTAAACAGAGGGCCAGTCACTGTCCCTCGGACCACTGGAGGGCCAGACTACAGGCCCTGGGACAAGCTGGCTGCTAAGCAGGACAGGCAGCAGTGGCAAAAACAACTGGCGGGCCTGATAAATGTCCTAGGCAGGCCACATGTGGCCCGTGGGCCATAGTTTGAGGACACCTGCTCTAGATAATCAAAACAGATGTCAATGAAGAAAAAACCCACATCACATGTGTTTTATATGAAATACTACCAGCTCCAATAGGAGCAAGCTGATATTGAGACCCCAAGTTAAAATATACAGAGAGTCTCAAAGTGGGGAATGAGAGAGGATATCCAGAAAAAGTAAGGTCTAAGAGAACAGAGACTTCTCAAGGAGACCCCAAGGATACACCTGTGAGGTCCTCCCCATGGGGACTCAGCTCTTAGGAGTTTGTAGGAACTTAACTTCCTGGGACCTGGAGGCTGATGCTTGCTTCCACTTCTGTAAAAGCCCACGGTTCTGTAAAAGCCAAGCCTGCTTCTCCCGCTTGATTCAAATTGACCAACGAGAAAGGTAACCAGGAGCTGGAACTTTTTGACTGGGGATAAAAAGAAGACTGTGCCAGGGGCAGGGTCTATTAAGACATGGCTGCAATCAAATGGGAAAGTATAAAGTTAGAAATGGCAAGAGACAAAGAGACAAGAAATGCAGAATAGAATTTTTAAAGGTGGGATCACAGGGCACCACCACCTGTTTGTGGGTTCTGGCAAGTGGCCCTGAGTTTTGCTCTACTCAGCTTTTTTTTTTTTTGGAGGCAGTGTTGCCCTCGGTAGAGTGCAGTGGTGTTGCAGCTCACAGCAACCTCAAACTCTTGGGCTTAAGCAATTCTCTTGCCTCAGCCTCCCAAGTAGCTGGGACTACAGGCGCCCAACACAACGCCTGGCTATTTTTTGGTTGGAGTTGTCATTGTTGTGGCAGGCCCAGGCTGGATTCAAACCTGCCAGCTCTGGTGTATATGGCTGGTGCCCTAGCTGCTGAACTACAGGCGCCAAACCTTCACTCAGCTTTTATTGAAGGCTATTTGTTCATTAGCCCTGAGGATAAGCTGAGGAAGAGAATAAAGACTTCAGCAGTTTCTCTGAGCAAGCATATCAGCTCCTACTATTTCTATAATTAAGGGTCTGAGTAGTCTTGAGAAATCAGAAAACTGAGCCTTGTGTGTGGGCAGCCTGCTGTCTGTGGTCACACACACAAACACACAGAGATTTTTAGGGGAGTTGATCCTTGCTAGTTCACTGGGAAGTAAAACTCCACTGGGAAGTAAAACTCCACTGGGAAGTAAAACTCCACTGGTATCAATCTCCTCTGAAGAATCGGTGGGAAAGAGGAATTTTCCTTTCTTTTTTT